TAAACCTATTATATACAATTTAATATGTTTAAACATATTAATTTAGTATACATTGAGTTAAAGTAAAATGTTTTAAGCACGTTGTAATATAAAATGGCAAAAAACATGTCAAAAGCGGTTTCATTTGAATAATATGTATACGTGTTTAAATATAACATATTTCCCTGGTAAAAATAAAATGTAAAGTGAGTGTCATTAAAGCGTTAATTGAAGTGTAAAGGAAGTGTAAAGGGGGGGAGTAACTCTTCTTGTAAGGAAACAGTGGCGGATACAGGAGAAAGAGCAGAGGAAGCTATCGCCCCTTCCAGAGTTTTCCAAATAAAAAGTTAGAAAAAAATAGGAAGTTAGAATTTATTATATAAAATTTGTTTTTAAATTACATTTCGTATTACGTTAATATGTATATAAAAATATATCTAGCTATAATAAAATGCTAAGTACCAAACATGTATATTGATTTGTAGCGGGAATAATTTGGTACAGGTATATTGTGATTAAGGCACTAGATATGTAGGTATTCCTATTCGCCATTTTGGTTCTACTTGATTGTATAGTACGATTAGTGACAAAAATAAATGTTAATTAAGAAGTGCCCGCTCACCTCAAATTTTGATAAAAATACACTGAATCGACACGTTTTTGCGTAAAAATAAAGATTTGACAAGAAAAAAGTGTCGCTCTGCTCCCCCCCCACCGAGATATTAATCCTATAAAATCGACGACTTCGGGTTAGGAAATCTGTTACAGCAGTGTACTGCGTTAAAAACATAAATTCACTGCTTTTAAAATACAAATTTATTAACAAATTGGATAATATGGCTCAATAAATTTAAATTAAAGGATTTAAAAAAACTACGAGCCAATGAAACAATATTCAATATACGTTTATTGCAAGGTTGGCAGTTACTTTTCCGTTACTTTTTATAATAAACAATTTGATAATGACAATGCAATGTTTAATCTAACTAACTAAATGCTAAGGTTGTACTAATGTTGGAAAAGTCACTTTAAAAAATAACTTGTCATCAATACGCGTTTCTTACTAAAATAAGTAATAAGTAACATGTTACTCGTTACAAGTAACGAGTAAAAAGTAACGCGTTACAAATTGGGAGTTATTTTCAGTAAAGAATAACTTTTTCAATTCGAATATAACAAAGATAACAATTAAAAAGTAACGGTCGTTACAACGTTACAAGTAATATGTTTCTTGCTAACCCTGGTTTATTGTAATAATAAAACGTTTTGACCTCCATATCAAGTCATAATCAGTGTTGTTAATTTATTATATAAACTGACAATAATTAAGTAAACAGTCCATTGAATACATATTTAAAAATTTGTGTATATTCCTTCTTTGTGTGTTATTTATTTGATCCTTGTACAACAAAATATATTCTTGTTATATGAATTGAGAAATGAATATAGATAGATAACACACTCTTAATTGTTATATTAATTATTAGATTAACGAAGTCGAGCATCGGCATAAAAAGGCACCTTTCGATTTGACGTTGAAACTACTGTTTATAGTTCTCACGTTGGCAATCATGTGATGATTGGTTAGCTTAAAGCTCATGGCACATACGTAGGCTGCTGGAAAAGTTTCTGCAAACAATATGAAAAAAAACATGTAAAATTTGGTAAATGGCTTTATAGTTTTTCGAAATATTCGCCTTTAAGATCGATACATTTTGCATACGCTCGAACTAATTTTCGAAGCATTTTTTCCACTCTAAGGCTGTAACCTCAGAAATCAATGTACGAAATGTTTCACAGCTGCTTCAGGCGACTCAAATCGCTCATCACGCATCTTATTTTTAATGTTTGGGAAGAAAAAGAAGTCATTAGGTGATATATCAGGTGAATACGGACAATGAGTCATCAATTCGACATTATTACTGGATAAAAAATTAACGGTTTGACGTGCTGTGTGACAGCTGGCGTTGTCATGATTAAGGATGATGCGACGATTTCGGTTTGTTCTACGCAATTCATTTATGACTTCTGGTCATACAAACAAATTGTTGTATATGAATCAGTATTTACAGTCTTCCATCCTCTAAAGCCACGGTTGTCACATGTCCGATATAACCGAAGAAACAAGCAATCATTTGCTTGGCAGCACTGCGTGAACGAACTTTTGTTGGTTTCGGTTTATTTTGAAATACCCAAACAGTGGATTGTTATTTACTTTCGGACTCATACGAATAGATCCATGTTTCGTCCCCAGTAATGATGTTGTAGACCAAATTTGACCGACCTCGGTTGAATTTCTTGAGCATTTCTTTGCTCGATTTAACATGAGCCTGTTTTTCAGCTTCGGTCAAATTGTGTGGGATCCAACGACTGCACAGTTTCTGTACGCTCAAATGATCATGCAAAATCGTATGTATTGTTTTCATGTCAATGCCTAAGGATGCCTGAATCTCGCGGTATGTTATATGTCGGTCTCGCTCAATCATTTCACGCACAGCATCAACATTAGTGGCAACAACAGACATGGATGGACGACCTTCACGGAATTCATCACTAAGAAAGGTATGTCCACGCTGGAATTCGGTAAACCAATTATAAACAGTCCTATTGGATAGTGCTTCATCTCCAAAAGCCAAATGAAGTCGATCGATGCATTGTTTCGAAGTTAGATTACATTTGTAATCGTAAAAAATCATTGCCCGAAAATTTTCACGCGAAATTTTCATTTTCTTACAAAATAACTTCTTTTAAAATACTATACAAACAAAACTAATTGGCTTAGGTACAAACTGTCAGTTGAATTATAGGTTCAAAACATCTAATTTTACGGATATGATAGTAGCAGAACGTTGGTTCTGGAAGTACTAGATTGCAGAAACTTTTCCAGCAACCTACGTACAAAAACGTAAGGCCATAAGCAATAAGCGAATTGCCCAATCTCGGTAGAGACCGTAAAGCCAGTAGCGAATCCAATCTTACGATTTCCTTACTTCTTACGGCCTTACGTTTTTCTATGTGCTCCCGGTTTAACGGAGGGTGCCATTACATGAAGCGCGGAAATGCGGGAAAGCACAAAAGACAAAATTAATTAAACTTTACTAGATTTCCGCGTTTCCGAGTGTTCTGTTTCACTTGTTTTGATCTCCTAATATTACATGCAGTACACTCGCGAACAGGAATGCTTTTACACATTTAAGATAGATGCGTTCCGAAACGCATTATAATCAATAAATACCGTTAAAAATTAATAATTTTTAATTCTCCGTTCCGCTTTCCCGTTCAAATTGTACACTCGCGGACAGGAATGCCTTTATATATTCAAAATGGATGCGTTCCGAATACTGAAATCAAAATTTTGAAGAAAAATCGAGTATTATTGAGTTCTAAATGCATACATATGTCTATGAAACTAATAAATCATAAAATAAATACAATATTATTAGTTTTTAACTCTTAATCACTTCAATATTCACAAGGACGCGAACTCCCATAAGGATGTCGGTCTTTAATAGTATCTTGTCAGTGGTTGTGGATTGGAAAGGCGCTTATAAATTTGAGTTTTTATAAAGCTACAGAAGGATTAAAAAAAAAAAGACAATTCGATTGTGTCATGAAAATTATTTATAGCAAGTATATTTTTAAATCAGAATTATATAATAATATAATATTAACAAACTTATTATATAAAGATAATATTCACATTAATAATAATAATATTAAATAGTAATAATAATAAAAAGTAAATTAAAAATAATAATTGATTAAATACTTTATGAAAATTGTAATTAAATGTGAAGTTGTAATTTAATAATACACACACACGCGCGCGCGTGCGCGTGTACGCACACACATGCATACTTCATTACGAGAATACTTTATCTTATACAAATAACAGTCTACACAATATATTTCTGAAAAAATTTGATTAAACTTTTTAGTAAAACTTAATTTTATTAACCCTTCGTCATATTTTTCTCTTACAAATTAAAAAAAAAATTAAGCTTTGTATGAATGACGTACTACGGCTCTCATCCGTGATACTCATGTTTGGTCCGATTTCTTTACCATGAGTCTCACACAATATTGTAGGCAAAAGGGTTAATTATATATTATGAAAAGGAGATCCAGCTAACCTACAATTTCAACTTGCTGAAGGCAGCCATATTCCTGGTTGAAAATTGACGCATGCGCGATCAAAAATTGGAAACCACATAAAAAGTTCAGTGTCTATATTGTACTCATACTGTGATATTGTTATGTAATTAATATCCATTTCTTCAGACGGCAATAATGCGCGGCAGCATTTTGCGATTACAGATTTTGAGCTGTTATGTCTTCTCTCAAATTTCTCTTTGGTAATAGCAATGGAAGCGAGCCTGAAGAAATGATAAAATGATGTATTTATGACGTCATACCTGCGGCTAGAATATTTTGAAACCTCCAATTGATTACACTTGAAACGCTTCAAAGCATTTGTAGTGAGATTTTGACCGCACCCCTAGCTGGATTGACTTTTGTCTGTCTTATCCTGAGTCTAATGGCGGGAGCCATTAAAGTAAAGAAGAAATCAAATGAAATCAAATAGCGTATTTGATTTGTTGACTCGAATTGACTAGTTGATGGTTTATTCTTTTTAGCTGTATTTCCTGAAATTTCTGCATAGATTAAAGGGCCATAGCACACACAAAACTTAAGGCAGTAAGGAAATTAATCTGGACTGGCTACTACTTACGTTATGGTTTTATCGATTCTACTGTAGTCTAGTTTACATCGAGGATTCGATCCGGGTCAGAATGCAAGAACCAATCAACTGCAGTCGAGCATTCCCCTATTACAGTCAAACGACAAGGGACTCGACTGCAGTTGATTGGTTCTTACATTCCGACTGGGATTGAACTCTCGATGTACACTATGCCTGTGATTGGTTAATTCGCATATTGCTTACGTTTTACTGCTTAAGTTTTTTATTTGCCATAGCCTTACTCTTCTTTCGCAGCTAAAAAGAACAGACCATTGACTCAGTGTCGATCGAGTCAGCAAATCGAATAATACGCTAAAGAGATCGAAAGAGATTGGTGTGGTTTTGAAAAAGATTGCACTATTAATTCAATTTAGATAGATCAAGTTCGTTGAATTTTTTGTAAACCGGAATAGTGAGCCAAAGTGTGTTCGCTAATTTAATGTGTTATTTCCATATGTTCTCCCAAATCAGATAGAACAATATCAAGTTTTCCAGGCTTCTGAAAGTTGATTAATGCGAATGTTATATTGTAACCTGTAAATTAACTTTCGCAAGTATGGTAAGTCACATTATTCGATACATCGATTGTTTGATTTGTAACAAGTATAACGGACTTTTAACTATTGATTAAATGTACCAAGGTAAGTATGGTCTGACAACAAATTGTGTAGATTTCTAATTTCAGATAAAAATGTTTCGGCTTTTTTTAGCCAATGTCATCCATATGAACTTCCATATATGTCTATGGATTTAATCTAATAATGGTTAAAGGCTCTGTTGACTTAAATCAATAATCATTTAATAATACTATTAACATATTTTATAAATTATAAATTATTGAAAAAATGATATAGATTTATCTAATATGTGAAGTTGTTTCCCTCTGTTCAATAATTTATAAAATATCGACATATGTAACGTTTACATCTTAAATTTTATTTGAACAATAGACATCAAAGTAGCAACATCTCTCGTTGAAAATCTTGATATGACTTTTCATGTAAGTTATTAGCTTATTATGTATACATTAATATTATATACGAATAGATTTACGTGATTATTGTATTTGGCATAGTAAATTTGATTTTGAAAGCAATTGCATGGACGAAAGTAACAGAGAAACATCATTTAACTCAACATATTTCATAGCGAGTAATTGCATTCTACTTACAATTGCGAAAATATTTGTGACATAGGTATTTATTAGATTTAGGGATAGTTATATTTATGTTAACATTGAGAAGAATTTAAAACATAGGATCGAAACATTTGTAAAATAATTTGTCCATTAAAATGTAAAATAAATAGCTAACACAACAATAATTAATGTCACCTCATAATGGTATTATTAAATGATTATCTGTAGTATAATTCGAAATCATTAATCTTGGCCTAGTTTACATCGTGCACAGATATTTAATACAGATATATATATAAAATCAATAACTTTAGCAAATTATCTTAATTTCAGCATTATATCGTAATAATGATGCTAATTGCTAAATTGATATAATATGTATTAAAATGATTAATTAAATACTCATATCATATATATGTTTACATGTATCTCTGAAATTAAGATAATTCAATGGAAAGTTACTAGTTAATATCCATCAAATGCACAATGTAAATTAGGCCACTGGTTCTAATGAATCTGTAGTTTGTTGTCGATGAATCAGTAGATCAGCAGCCATTTCTAAAACTACCGACTACCAACTCATTGTGAAACTAATATGACTCAATGTAATATTTGATATCTCATGATATTTATTTTTTATAGTCGGGTACATTAAAGCCCTATTTGACAGCAGTCAGGCGTACACTTACTGCCGCCATGTGCCTGGAGAACTTCTCCTCTCAAATCGTAGAAAAACATAACAAGCCCGAAGTAGAAGTAAGGGCAAGCAAAGAACTGCTTTTAACACCCATTTTGATAAGTAGAAATGACAAGGAGAAAGTCTTGATTGAATCCAGTATAAATAGTATGAGAATAAGTATTGCCGTGAAACAAGCTGATGATCTAGAAAAGATTCTTTGTCATAATTTTACAAGATTCATGACAATGAGGGCTGAACATTTTATGATTCTCAGAAGAAAACCAGTAGAAGTGAATACATAAGTCTATTTGTAAGCTTTTAAGCTTTCATAATTCATAATATTGTATCATTTATTTTTAGGGTTACGATATTAGTTTTTTAATTACTAATATTCATGTAGAACAAATGTACAAACACAAGATAGTAGACTTTGTTATTCATTTTATGGAAGAAATTGATAGAGAAATAAGTGAAATGAAATTATCAGTTAATGCTAGAGCACGTATATGTGCAGAGGAATTCCTAAAAAGAGTAAGTATCCAAATGTACTGTATATCTATTCCTACTTTGTAAATGTTACCTTTAATATTGGATTTTCTTTTCAGTTTTAATTCATTTATTATCGACTTTCCAAGGTATTTGTTGGAAAGAATAATAAAGGATATACAGCGATAGTATTGTCCAACTGGGTCATACAACTTTTAATAACAAAATTGAAAGAGATTTTTTTTAAGTATTTAGTGATGTGTCCTTATCCACATGTCACTTAGATTATTCTATATTAAATGAATTGATATATAAATTATCAATGTTAATTTTCTTTAAATATTGTTATATAGAAATACAAGCAATATTAAAAGTGAGAACAATTTTGCTATTTAATCTTTTATCAAGATTGATTTTATATATTTGTTTAATAAAGCTTATGTCATCAAATTAATTATTCACATTTAATGAATTGTCAAAGAAATAGGGGGAGTTTTTTAATTTATCGATTGATCAATCATATTGTGCGCAAGTGTAAATTTGTTCCGTCAAAAGTTGCATAATGCGATTGATCAATTGACAAGTTAAAAAACGCCTGTCATGATGCAAGTAGATAAGGTGAATGCTTATAACTAAACAGCAACATTATTCTTTGTTTATTTCGCCTCCTCATATTTCCTTGAAATGCATGTATAGAAAATGAAAAATTGAAATTTGATTTGAAAATAAAATACAAAAAATTTGATTTAAAAAATAATAAAATATCATTTGTTTTACTTATTCATTATTTATAAAATTTGTATAAAATTCATATGAAGAATACTTTATATTCAATAAAAAATGAAATTTTTCTCTTAACACAATAAAAAGGATAAAAAACGATTAAATTAGTGGCATTCACTCAATTTATGGCTCTATATTATATGAGGATATACAGATTTTCACTGAAACAATGATTCATAACTTAGGTCAAGTTCCACAACTCACAATTAACTGTTAATCGAGGTTCAACTTATTCATTGTCTCTTTCCAATTCTAGAATTGAAAAGAGATGAGAAACAAGTTGAACCTCGGTTAAGAGTTAACTGTGAGTTTGGAACTGGGTCTAATACACGTTTCTATCAATTTTGATTTCGGTTGAACTTACTCTTCATCTTTTTCTAATTAGGACTAGAAAGGGATGAAGAGCAAATTGAACCAAGATTAAAATTAAATCGGTAGAAACGGACATTAGGATCTCTTTCACTCTTGATTAAGTTAGTCAAGGTTAGAGAAAGAGACCCTTATCGTCACTAACGAGTCACTAACGAGATACTATCAAAGATGATCGGCGCTTATGAAAGTTCACATGCCTGTTAAAATTTAAGTGATTAAAGGCCGTTGTTCCACCTTTTGATAAATTTTATCTATTGAGTAAATAGCAAGCTTACCCAATCACATACGTAGATTGCCAGATTTATCTAATAGGTAAAATTTATCAAAAGGTGGAACAACTACCTAAGAGTAAGAAACTAATAATACAGTACTAATTTTATGATTTATTAGTTTCATAGACTGTACATATATATATGTTTAAAACTTAATAATGCTTGATTTTTATTTAAAATGATTTTGATGTTATCATCCGAGTTTGATTATTAATAGAGATGATAATTGCAGAGAAAAAAATTGTAATTTTTCGGCAATATATATGATATAGCATTAAAAGTATATGTACTTATTTATGCAGCATTCATATAATAAAATATCACGAATTTAATAATGTATTATCGAAATATTTATGTTAATAATTGTAAATTTTTATTATTTTATTGTCAGTAACGTCATTGTTCTTCAACTATCCCTGGGGTCCCATTGATAGTTATGAAAATTTGCACAGAGTTTAATTCCAACATCATCGCAATATTTTATAAAGACATCGATAAATATCTACGAATTTGCTGAAGATGATTTGAAGAAAACCCAAAACGTTCAAATAAGGTATAAAAATTGTACATTTGTATGTTATATAAATATAAGATAATTATATTTGATTGCGCACCAATTTCCGCGCTGTGTTGCCTTCATTGCCCGATACTTTGAAAAGTATTTAACGAAAAAAAATTTTATTATAGTGTTTTGAAAAGCTTTTATGATAAGCTACAAGAATATACAATTAAAAATGGAGTGTTCTGTTTAAAAATTCTAAGTGCCCTTGTCCCAACTTTAACAAATACAACACCACCCAAGATCAAACAAATGATATCATCTTATGTCCTTTTTCAAGCCACAGAATTTTTCTTTGAAACATTTTTGCCTATTAGGTTCAATATTCGATATATTTCGGTGTTTTTTCTTAAGTAAAACACTATATATATATATATATATATATATATATATA